CGAAGTAGATGTGCCCTAACAGAACATGAAGGTATCGAAAGCATGCACAAGGCTTGTTGGCTGGATGTTTTGGTGTCTTACTTTGTCGGCTGCTGCAGACACTTGCGCGGCCTGCGATATATGTACCCGGACTATTCCAGGTTTGACTGCTGCTGTTGCTGTGGCTAATAACAGTGGTAACGAATTTTCGCAACATGTATCTCTAGCAATATGCACCTGATCGTCAACACCTAGCTTACTGCGTCCTGAAGGATACATTCACCTTGACACTAATTGATGACCCGTGCTGGTCCACGTGTCTGCGCTTGGTGGGCTCACGATCCGGGATGTTGGACGAGGAGGCGTGGTATTCTTGAAGATACCGAAAAACGATGTTTCGTGATGTGGCTTCGACCGTGAGCCAAAAATCTTGTTCGAGTGGTTCATCGTATTTCCTACCGAACAAAAGTGTACTTCACGTCCGATGCGGATGGGCCCATCTTCGATCTTGAGCCTTTGAAGGAAAGAGGTAAGAACCTTCTGTGTCAGTTTTGCCGCAGCATTTTTGGGGTTGTCAACATTCTGCTCTTACCAATCACTTAGGCAAAGTACTCAAACTTGGACTCTATGTCATGGCCGATTAGAGAATTTGACAACATTCGACCTGAGGTGCTTGAGGACCCTGTCACAAAAACTTGAACAAAATTGTAGATGTATCTGGCCTTAGGCAAGCATCGATACCACGAAAAGGCCCCCATCCGGATGATTCAGCTAGGAGGCAGAATTATTGTCAAGTGTAACTTGAGGTAGCGAGATATGGCAAGATTCCGAAGTTCCCCAAAACGATGATGTCTTTGCAACCACAACTTCCCAGCTACCAAAACTTTTGCTTGCTCAAGGACGATTCGAGGGTCAAAGGCAATACAAGAGCGGTCGGAGCGCTTTCCTTTCACAGATTTTGCTTTCCAAAAATGGTGGATAATATCTGTAAACGTTTCGGTGTACGGCAAAGATCTGGTAATCATAGTTAAGGCGTGTCTGTTTTGGCAGTCGCGCCAAAAATCGTGGTTTCCAGTTTGTCCATTCTGATCAACTATCATGTTCTTGCAACGTGCCAATTCTAGCTCAATATCACTGCACTTGTCGCTTTCTCCATCCTCAGATGGACAGTCGCTTTCTTATCGCACGCTGCGATGGTCATTCTCAGAGCCCAATTCGCCCTGATCCAATGCTGCAAACTTTTGGCAAGTCTACCGTATAACTTCGCGCTCGATTTGGTAGTTTTTGCCCAATTCGACCTCTCCCGAACATTTTGCGAATGATCCTAAACTTCATTTTCCCTGTCGTACGCCGTTTCAAGCGCTGTTCGAGCCTCGGCCAACCCAATCACAAGTTCCACAGCTTCCGGGCAGTCCACAGCCAAAATATCGTCTCTGAGGTTATCCAAAGCTGTCTCTGTAAGCTCAAGTCGGTCCTCCAAGCGTTGAATATCGTCATCATGCTGCATACTTTCGCGTTGTGACTGAGGCTGCAGGTCCCGGATGAGGTTGAGGTTTGTGAGATCGATAGCCAAGAGCTCGAGGAGCAGATCACTGGTGTACTGGCACAATACCAAGAGTGGTGTGGATGCTATGTGAGGTCGTGCAATCCTGATACAGGCGGTAGCAGCTTCGAATTGGTCGATTAAAGTGGTTCGTCACAGAGTGCGATTTTGGGAAATCACGAGGTAGGTATGAAGTTGCTGCGAATATGCGGGTTGGGATCGAGAAGAAATTTGGGCTAAGTCAGGAGATTCCGGCGAAATGGACATATTTGCGAGATTGCTCTGCCAAAATGTTAGATCCTTACGAGCCACCATGACAATGTTTAGTCCAGGAATTCGACACTTCAACTGAGGGGTTTGCAGCTTGCGGTCGTGGATTCTTTTGGGTATTTATGAGGATGATGAAATCGAACCAAAAGTAAACTCACACGTGTTCTGCTTGGAACTTTGGACCTCAATTTGGTTGTGAGGCTGTCAGACAATCTTACGATTTTGTCAGTTGCGCGGTCTTGGTGAAAGGAAGATTGATCGAAACTCGCGAAACGAGGTCTCTAGGGGATTATTGGCAGGATTTGCGCTTACCTGAGTTGAGTGGGAAGGAGAAGGACGAAGTCGATCATGCAAGCTGGAAGGCGACAAGGAGAAGCTGGTGGGATGGGTGTTGATATATGTAGAGTGAGATGAAGGCGTTTATTTGACCAGCGTCGATGTGAGGTCGAGATGAAGTGGCCAGGCTGTCAAAGGATACGCTCAATCTTTTCTCACCAGTAGCTGACAATAGCCTCACTCAGCACTTGACTCCGTCATCGACTGATATTCATCGAGGCTGAAACACATACTTCCCTTACTCGCAGCGCACTACTGACAATGATAGGCGCTAGGATTGATCAGCTTCGGTCATTGACTGTTTTGCCAAGCAAACGGATGGCATTGAGTCAAGACGCACAGTGCTAGTGACCGTCGTTCCTGTCGTGAGACCATTCGCCTCGAAGCATTTCGTTCCGGATCTCACGTGTTCATCAAACTTTCTGCCTCGCTTTCTTGGGCGCTCAGGCCAGTCGATTGTCCTGTCGGAGCTCCGTTGGAGGAGTCGTTGCTGTAGATCTGATAAACAGACTTCGCGCCATTCTTTAGGTGTGTGGCCCAGATACAGGCAGGATCGGCTGCAATATTCTCGTGCAAGTCATTATCTTGTCCGTTGCTTTTTAGAAGGGTGACTTTCGACAGTGACCACAACAAACTTCTCAACAGATACTGCTGATTCATCGGACGTTCTGATATGACGGACCATGGGCCACGTGTTCTCCATGTTTGCATTGCATGCTTGATGCTGAGAGTTCTGCCTCACATGCCTCTATTGGGTATCGTGTTCGTCTACCTATGTTGGCCTGCTCATTTTAGGACATATCGACAATCATTGTCTCTGGCTTCTCGAGGTAACTTTGCACTAGGCTCGCCATCCTAGCCATAGTTGCACCATCGACCACTCTATGGTCCGCACTCCAGCTCGCGGCCATCATGTCTGCGCGCACGACAGTCGTGCCGTCCGCTGCGAACACTGGCGTGGGCTTGATCTTGCCCATGCCCATAATCGCTAGCTGTCCTTCGACAATCACGGGCCCAACTACGCCACCTCCAATGTTGCCAATGTTCGAGACTGTGATTGTACCACCTGTTAGGTCGTCGTTCGAGAGCTTGCTGGCAGCACCCAGCTCAGCAAGCCTGTTCAGCTCTTGAGCTATAGACGTGATTGACCTGGCGTTCACCGCCTTTACGACAGGCACGAGAAGTCCAGCTGGCGTATCCATTGCTACGCCGATGTTGTGGTTGCTCCTCATTAGTAATTTCGGCTTAGCTGCATCTGATGTGTCCAACCGTGCGTTTAGGAGTGGATACTTGTTCATGGCCAGGGAAACTGCTTTAATGACGAATGGCATGTAAGAGAGCTTGGGTGTGGTATGTGACTCTCTTGTTGTATTTAAGCTTGACCGCATTGCAGCTAGCGAGGTGACATTGATTGAATCTGAGTAGAGGAAATGAGGTATCGCTAGAGACTTGGTCATGGACTTGAACATTGCTGATTGTATTGGTGTCAGGTTCTGGGATGTCTCTTCTTGCTTTACGTTGAGTGCTGGAGAGGTCGATGGAGTATACTGTGGTGTTTGCGATGTTGATTGCTGCGGTTGCTTTTGTCGTTCAATATGGCGATGTACGTCTTCTTTCAGCACCCGTCCCTCTTTTCCCGTGCCTTCTATCGATGTGATGTCTAGATTGTGCTCCTTCAGAAGTCCTCTTACTGCAGGGGTTGCCAAACTTGCATGTTTGCCTGTCGATTTGTGAGGCGTTGCTTTTGGAATATCGCTGGGTTTGTCCGGATCCGGAGGTAGCGAAGGTTGTGCTTCTTCTGCAGCGATATGCTCTTGGGCTTCACTGCTCGACGCTGTCGTTCCCTCCTCCGCTTTCGAACTCGCAGAATCCTGCTCTTGCTCTGGTTCCGGCTCTGGCTCGTCCTCACCCTCAACTTCAATATCCAGCATAGCGTCGCCGACCTGAACGACAGCATCCCTCTCATAGCGAAGCTTCTTCACAACTCCACTGTACTTGGACGTGATCTCCACAGAAGCTTTGTCGCTCTGTACCTCGCAGAGAGGTGCCCATTCTTCCACGGTAGCTCCTTCCTCAACAAACCACTGTATTATTTGCACTTCCTTGACTCCTTCCCCAATATCCGAGAGAATGTGTGTCTCGACCTTCTGGAGCGCCGCCGAAGCTTGGAAGAGCCGACGCTGCCCCAAGAAGGGCGAGCGTTGTGTCTGTCGGAAGGGTGAACGCGGAAGGGCGCGTGGTACTGCGCGGAGACAGGAAAGTGTCTTCATGCTGTCAAATATCGACCAGCGCTACCTCCCAACACGATCGGAGGTTCTTCTTCACCAGAACGACATCTGCACAGTGGTCGGGCGCGCATGCTTTATGAACATTCGGTGCAAGAGAAAAGCAGTGCATGGCATGAAGACCCCAAGTTGGACTTCGCCGTGAATAGCCGCATCTCTGTCCCTCGGTAAGCTCACGCGTCATGGAGCATCCATCCTGCCTGAGGCATCAACCTGCTAATCAGCCTCCTGGATCACAACTACCAATGCTGGGCTGTCCTCAGCTACGGTGGCAGGCTGTAGGGACGTCTCTAGTATCAAATGCAGGCATTGGTACCTAAAGCCTGTTCACACATACTTAAGACAGTACAGAGAAGGTCTCACGAGGAATAAGAAGTGACACGATAAGTTGCGAGCCTCCACCAGTCCATCGTCAAACCGCAGATGCAAAAAAAGTCCGAATGTCAACTAAAACAAGCCAAGACTGCACGTTGAACGAAATTGAAGCCAGGTTTTCACCAACAGTCTGGAGATTTACAAAAAGAAAGGGGTGTTTAGCAACGACTCTGGGGTATTGTTAGAAGACCATCATATACAATGAGATTGATTGTCCTTACGGTTTCGATCCAGTGTCCTCCGGGTTATGAGCCCGGCGCGCTTCCGCTGCGCCACGTCTATTGAGACTATTAGAATGATATTCGAACCAAATCGTTGTGGTGCTACTCACTGCTTGAGATCTGTGTGTCTGATTTGAGCACAAATTTCGTTGGTCAAATACATCACCTAAGAGAGAACTAGCGTGGTCACGTGCCAGGCAGCGCATCAGGGGTGACCAGTTCGTGGCGAATCCATCGCTACGACATGGTGTGCGGCTACCAGAGAATGCTAATGCTTTCAAGGTCAGGGCTTCACGTATCTAACTCTAGCAAGCGGCGCCCAGCCTTGATGTACACATTGGAAATAGCTAACTGCACACAGCCTACAGACGGTGCACAACTTGAGTGGCATGCTTGATATCACAGCGAACCGTATACTCGGAGCCTATCAAGCGTCCGCTTATGGCGTGCTCTAGAGAAGGAATGGGCACCAGCACAGCCCAAATTGAACACAGTACTCAGAAGCAGAGAATGTTTGACGTTGATGTTGAAGACTCGGAGGCGCCAGATGATAGCATCTGAGTCGGTAGACAAGGCCTGACTGTTCTTGGGTCGCCATAGCGGCAACAACGTCTGCTCGAAGCAGGAGCGAGAAACTCAGCCGGCAGGAGCGACAGACGCAGGTGGCAGGAGCGACAGACGTGGGCGGCAGAAGCCAGAAGGCAGGGGGGAGGGAGCTGTCGTCCCCAAGGCGCTGTGTGGGAGAGAGGCATAGATGCACCACGCAACATGCATGCGGTGACCTGCAGCCTAAACGGTAAACGGTATCGATTCGATACCTCTTCCGTCGTCTCAGATATCACAACGAAAGTGAGAAGTAAATGGCAAGCGTCAAGCAGTAGCTGAGTTTCAGTCTCAGCTTACTTTATACTGAAAACCAAGTCGCCAAGAACGATGTGTTGTGAAGGTCATTATCAATACCGTCTGCCCACAAATGGCCCTGATTTCTCACCTCATCGTCGACATCATCAGAAGCGTTAAATCCTAACACCTGTCGCAATCCCATTCTCATCCTCACGTTGAGTCTTTCCAAATCCCTTCTTCAACCGTAACTTCATGCCTCCTCGCATCGATCAACTTGCCGCCTCAGATGCACAGGCACGACGCCGCTACGTCGAACAAGTCCTCAGCGACGCTGGCCCAGCTCAAGATGCCGCGTACGTTCACTCGGCGCAAGGAACTTTTCACGACTACTATTTCGAGCTGTACCTAGCTCATGTGGCAATTATGATTGATCCCAGCAACGAGCGCGACCAACCAGCCGATCAAGAAGAGCTGATTGAAGCCGGCTTCCCTGTCAAAGACGACGACGCTATTATCAGGATGGTCCGTACATTCCTCGCTGGATACGCGCGAACGGCGAAGTCAGGCTCGATCAAGTAAGCTTAGCATCACGACAATTCACGACAATTCACAACAAGATAGACTCTAATATGTTGTAGTCGCCAGACAATTCTACGTTCGACGTTGAGCCGTGCTCGCGAATCACTCACCTTCTAAGTCAAACAGGTATACCGCAGACGAGCCGACGCGCCCAACATGAGACGGCTATATGCAGAGACTACAGACATTGTTGCGCAGCTGAGTGACGAGCTTAAGCCTGGTAGTGATTAGTCGAAAGAGGAACGTTCGATGCTTGGGACCTCCGAACTGCGCTTGCTGCTCGGTGAAGATGCAGTGAGTTCAGCTTACCTACCATACGCCAAAATCCATCATCTTGCCTGGTGTATCGCCAGCATGACTGGGCTGCGGCCCAGCTCCTCGGTCCTCCAAGCAATCCAAATGTTGCAGCTGCCGACCGTCAATCGAGCCTGCCTTGTTTAACTTGGGGAGATATTACGTGCAAGAGGATCAGGACACCACAGGAAGGACTTTTTTTTTTGGCAGACATCACGATACGAAAGCTCAAGGGCAACAACCGAAGAAAAAGCGATGGCACACCTCAAGGAGGGAAACAGCTACAATTTTCGCTCGCCAGCCCAACGCAATCCAACAACTTACTCCTATCGGTACCGCATCGATTGCTCATCATAGCCTTACGACGCGACTTGCTAGAGGGTACCCTACTGTGAAGCAGTTGCTTGAGGGAGACCTCATGTATATTCGTGTGAAGCGTGAGTTTCATCAGCACCCGATACTTGTTCAGAGTCTTCATGCCGGCACTGAGCTTGATCTCGAATCAACTCTGCCAGCAAGTGCCCTCACTCGGTACCTCAAGGACTGTGCGCGGCGCAATGGTTTCCCTGATACAGTCACTCTCTACAGCTTGCGACGTCAGGCTGCAAGCGACTTCAATGCGAAGTATGGAGCAGATACCGCGCGACAGCTCTTGGGCCACGCACCTGGTACTCGCACCCTCGAAAAACATTATCTCAAGTTCGCGTACCAAGTGGCCATTGTAAGTACGAGGCTCGGCGAGGATGAGGACGAGAACGATGAGCTTGCAGTGCTTCAGGAGCGCGCTGGACGGTAGGCGATTGAGAGACTAAATAAGGAGGAGGTATTGGAGACGCAGGGTCCTGGTCTTGCCAAAATACTTGAAGAAGCACTTGCGCAGGATTTGCAGTATCAGGCAATGACCAACGCTCATCAGAAGGGTCTATACCGTAGGCGCTTGAGGTACAGACTTGCGGACAAGGCATGGTCAATGTCCGTTGCGAACGCACGCGATAACCTGACAACAGACGCCTACAATACTCGTCGCGAGGAACTCGCCACGCAGGCCGAAACCTACTCAAAAGGATTCGATCAAGTACATCAAATCTTCGGCCGCTCGCAACGATCTTGAAGGAGCTCAGCTTGATGCTCTCACCCCGATCTTGGTCGGTTCAGGCGATGAATATTGAAGAGGAGGCTGAGCCTGAATATGACTATGAAGCAATAGCATGGGGTTTTATGCAGCGATCACCGGAGGCAAACTCACCTACTATTGATTTGAAAGTAAGATCCCAGTTCATCCACTGCCCTCTCTGCGTTCGCGACGACACGGTTCCAGAGGAGAAAAAGAACATCCGACATGAGCAACGTCTTCTCAGAAAGCATATCAACGAGGCCTACCACGACGAATTCCAAAAATTCAAGCGACGTATGGACATTGCGGCAGATTCCGGCGATGGCTACTACTACTGTCCGTTCTGCCAGGAGGTCGCGGCGTCTGAAAAGCAACGATACTGGGCATACTGGACTGCACTGCGTGATCATATCAACGAATCAAACCGTAAGCAGATTCAGGGCACTGGAGAATGGAAGCTCGACCCACAATGCGTGGAGCCACATGACACCTTGAAGGAAGAAGCTGGCTTCTATAAAGCAAATTTTGACGGGGATCCAGGAGCCATCAGTCAACGACAAGCCCGCGATAGACGCCAGTTAGCTAGAGAAATAGGCCTTGAGAGCCACACCACCATTAGACCGTTGAGACAAGCCATACCGCATCCGACGCGCAATTTACAATTTGGCGGTGGCGTTCAGCGACGCAGCTTGTCCGAAATCAGCCTGTCGGAAACATACAGCATGGAGGTAGAACCATTGGGGAACCGAAACTTGTCGTTCGAGCAACCAGAAGCAGTAGAAGCAAGCGAGCAGGAGATGGGATTCTTTGCAAGCCAAGTACCAGATGATGAAGCATGAGCAACGCGTCTGCGGCTCTTCACTAGGGACATGTCCAGTCTTTGCCCACTAGCGACCACCCCTCACCTCCCCAAATACTGCATGGCCCATGCAGCCACCGCTGTCAGACTCGGCACCGCCAACGCAGTACCCGTGATACGATCCCCAACCTGCAAGTACCTCACCGCACTATACAGTACATGCCCGTTCGTCAACACGAAGACCGCCAATTCCTCAGTTGTCTGGGGTCCAAGCGTGCGGGACCACTGATAATGTAGAAGCGCTGCGACGCAGACACGATCAGTCGAACTTCGGTACAAGCAGTGTGCACGACATACCGCTGGTGATACATGTTATGGTCACAGAGGACCAGCAATTCTCGGCGCCACGCGCACCGAGTCTGTCCTCGCGGGTGCTCTTAGGGATCTTAGCGAGGGCCGGATAGACCATTTCGTGACCTCGCATCTGTATCATTGTCGCCCATTAGTCAAGACTTCGGTTCTCCTATTACTAGTATATGTCGCATCGAGATATGCATACCACATGGCCAGGAGTGACGAGCGCGAAGAGCACCGCCGCGGTCTGATAGAGTAATGTGGAAGACATGGTGTTGCGATTTTCCAGTCGAGGAGATGTGGTGGCTTCTTGCGTTGCGTGACAGAACTCGTACTATATGACATGGTCTGTCTGCACTAATTGCTGACATGCGTCGCCCGGTCGATAGATTCGCCTGATGGACAGATGCATAATGAATGGTCGGATCAAAATTGTCCCGCAAACACGTCGAGTAGAACCGTCGCCTGACTTCTCGGATCTCAATCGTCTGGCTCGGGGCCGTGAGATATCCCTTTGCCTGAAGATCGGATTTGGCTGGTAAGGATACCTGTTCGATGGCTTACCACCAGTCAGTGGTATCTGCTTGGTTTCAGCCGGGACAATTTCCCGTCCGGCACGGCCAATTCTCCCTTGGGTATCTCCAGAGCTGAGATCAAGGGCAGTATCAACACCGTCGATGCTAAAAGCTGTCCGAAGCTCGAGTGCTTCTTACCTGTGTCCGCTAGCTCAATAGGTAGGCGCCTAAAGGCTTGTGAGATTGTCACAACCAGTGCTGTTAACTCCCGAACCAGAGTTAACTCCGGAGTTGGCTAGACCTTAACTCCTAACTCCCGAGTAGTACTCTGAGTTAGGCTGGAGTTGGGCTTAGCAACCGCTTTGTATGGTAGCTGGCTAGGGTTAACTAGCCTTGTCCCGATTACGTGCCAAGGCCGCTATGTATGTGAACGCCAAGGCTTCTGGAGTTTGGGAGTCAGGCCAGATTTTCCAACTCCCGGGAGTTGACTCTAGAGTTAACTCTGGAGTGGAATGGGAGTTGACAGCACTGGTCACAACACGGATAGGAGCTGCGACTGCGACCGCGAT